CAGCAGGAAATCAGTAGTAAAATATAGAGCAGTAAAGACCATCAGTAAGAAAAGTAGTCAAGGTCAGGGCCAAAGTATGTGCTAGAGTGAAATGTTTAAAATTTCCAATGAGTCTTTAATTAGGCTTTTATAAAATAGCCTGCTGTTAAACTGTTTTGTGTGTTTTCCATGCATAATTTACTCCCATGCATTTTTAATTCTCTCAGAGATCAAGCTATTCTCTGGAAAAGTGTTAACTTCCTGGAGAGGTAGCACAAACATTGTTATGTTTTGTTAATTTTTCATCTCATGTATTTAATAAACTGTTTGACGGTTAGAATCTGCAAGAAAGGCCATCTCCTATTTTGGTTCTAAAACTGACTCTTGTGCTGACTTCCATTTAGTCTGATGAAATTGAGAGAACAATGCCAGACTGATTAATTTTGTTTTTAAGTGTTGTGAGGACAATTGAGCTGTGAGTAGTTGACATTTTAAACTGGCAAACAGCTTGAGCACTTAAGCACAGTTCTAGGTAAATAAGCTATATATACTTACATGTGTATATGTAAGTGTGATTGCTTAAAGGTATACATTTAAGATTCCACGTGATCAATACTAGGCAGAAGCTGTTTGAGGACCAGAGGCAAGACTTATGTGCTGAATGAGTTGGGGAAAAAAATTGGATCAAAGAAAGACACTCATATTTAATCAAGACTTGAAATCTGGCAACTCTCCTAGGAGAATAAAATACTATTGGATTGCACTTATTTGTGGACATTTTTTTCTTGCCTTCTACATTGCCCTTTAAGCATAGTAATCATGATTTGTTCATCTTTGTACTCCCCAAACAGTAAGCATAATAGTAGATACTCAGTAGATAATTTACTCCTTCCTTACCCATTTGTTCATTCACGAACGCAGATGATGCTTGGGAAATATTAAAGCAGCAATCTAGCAGAGGGCATCGCTGTGATTCCCTCTGGTTTCTTCTACTAGGGAGTATGCAGCTTTTCACCACATTTCAAAGACAAGTGGTCTGCATAGAGAGGAAGCACGTGATTAGCTGTGTCTTTGTTCAGTTGGCTAATCAGGTCAGAGCTGTTGGTCCATCTGTGAATAAGCCAGTTAGTGTTTCTCCACTCCTAGCCACAGATTTGCACCTTGAACCTTTGCCAGCTGTTTCCTAAGTGCATGCCATTGGATGTGAGGGAGGCCAGAAAAGAGTGCACATGGATCAGCTTAAAATCATCACAACTTTTAAAAACAAAACAAAGCTTAAAGTATGAATCCCGTAATGGCAGATCAGAAGCTTTATCCTTGTATATTCAAAGGTCAGTATATTGGTGCCATATGTTCTGGTGTCAATGTAAACACTACATGGATAGGGACAAAACTTTTGGAGCTGTGACAAATGAGTATTGGCACTTTTGTTATCATTTTTACTTAAAACATTAAATTTCTTCTGGTAAGTTAGTATAACCCTTCCTAGAAAATACTGGGCAGGATGTGGATGGTCTCATTGATTCAGAAAAGAGTTCTACATGAGCAATATGCCTCATGTTTTAATAGATGACATAATTTAAGAACATTCTTGGTTGTCTAGCTACAACTCCCTTGCCTTGGGACTTGGGTCCTTGTTCTTTGAAGACTTATAGGACTCAAATGAGGTTTCACTAACAAACCAGTAATAATACCTCTTATTTGCTTTATATTTTTACTTTTACTTAACATTCACCTGTAATCATTTGCATTATTTCAAATGAGTCTCAAAATAACCTTATAATGTAAGTTGTACATTATTCTTCAGGTTTACTATTTAATTGTCTGACAACCTTTTCTTATCTGACCATTAGTGACTTCAGGAACTCTGGGAAGAATAGTTGACTATAAAGTAAAAAAAAAAAAGTATAGTCCTATACTGACAAAATTATTTCTTTTGTAAGATGCTACATTCTCCTATCAGAATGAACATTTAGGTGAAACTTCATTCTCCGAGTTAAAAAAAAATATTACTGAAACAGATTGCTCCCTTCTAGAGGATCTAAGGAAAAAAAGTAGAAAAACTCCCTTCAGCCAACATCTCTGGATATTTGAATAGACAAGGAAGAACTGTAGCTTTTTTTTTTTTTTTCAGCTAAATTTTCCTAAGAACACTCTGCTCCAACATAAGAATGCCAGTGGAATAGGAGATGGTAACACAAGATGCACCAGGAGACTCGAGGTTTTGTGTGTTTGAAACTTATATTCTACTATAATGACTAAATTGTAGAGAAGCAAAACTAATGTGTGTGTGTTGTTTTAAGTTTGCTCAATGTTTTTTTGGTTCTGTCTTCTAGGAGCACGCAAAATTCTTTTGTTTTTTGTTTGCTTGTTTGTTTTTAAAAGTTCACTCTTAAATTTATAAAACAATATAAGGCAAGGAAAATTAAAGTTATACTACATCAAAACAATATATTTGCTCAACATAGTAATACTAAAGGCATATAAAGGTATAAAGTGGTATACAGTGTTTTTTCACATAATTTATTTAAATTGGTAAGACTAGTCTTTCAATTTTTAATTTCACTATAAACAAAAGTGAGGTAAATACAATGATTGTTATCAACTGAATACTAGATGAGGTCTCAATATTTAAAAAAAAAACATAGATCTCTTCTTATAAACTTGCGTTTGATTTTAATTCAAGAATAATTATGCTGGGTTCTTATGTATGACTGGACAAAAAAACATGTGGTTGTGTGTTTTGGCATATGTTCTTCCAGATTTTTCAGTGATAGTCATGATAACCAACAAAGGAAAGTTAGACTGGAAAGCCTTTTTCTGTAGGAGATTCTAGTCATCACCCTAAGAATAATTCCAACACCTAGTGGTTACTTTTACTTGAAGACTTTATGTATATATACATGTCAATGACTTTAAGTGATGGAGAATAGGGACGTGGAATTCTGAAGAATAAACTTTTGGAACAGATACCTGCACAATATCATACTTCTTTTTAGCTCCACTACTGTTACCAGAAAAACATTTGGGTAAGTAAAAATGAAATTAGCAAAAACATAATATTTTTATAACAGGCAGTTTTTTTCTATGTTCATGTTTATAACTTTCCCTGAGAGCAGAATTAAAATTGTAAACCATAGCTTTAATGTATATTATGAACATAAAGGAAAAGAATGTGTTCATGCACGCGCGCGCACACGCACACTTGTAGGAAAGACTAGATTTTAGTATCAAACAGAGATGTGGGTGTTGTGCAATCAACAAAACACTGTTGTGCAATAATTAAAGAATTTTTAAACTGAAGATTAAATTGGAATGTTGTTATAAACATAAGGAAAATGGCCAACATTTTTCTTTGTATCAAAAGAAAACTCATTTCTAAAAATAAGCACCCTCTTTGTGATGACCCTTTAAAATAGTTTTAAGTGATTCCATTCATAGATGGGCGTTTAGGTCTGTAGCACTTTGCTATAAGTGGCTTGCTCTTTGATCTTGTAGCCTTTAATCAGGTGTGTATCCAGACGAGGCGAGCATTGGCATGGCTGTTCACCAGCCAGACTCCGCACCTCTGGAAGCAAACGTGGTGGGACTAAAACATGCTGCTGGGGGCTGAGAGCTTTCCTTTAGTGTATGAATTTAAGGAAATTTTGGTTAAAGCTATTTCTCATTGCTAAACTTCATTTTATCAAATCAAGGTCAACGTGGACCTTTATAAAGTTACCAAATTAAAAAAAGACCTTGATAAAATTTTTTTTAAACAAAAAAAGTTTTTATTATCTTCCATGTTCATATTACTTTCCCCAAAATGAGAATGGAGTAAAAAGGAAGAATCGAGAATGCTACCTTTTCTTTTAAGTGTTATTGACCTTCAGCGGTCAATTACTTTGAAATGTAAAATTGATTTAGTATAATCTTAATGTCCCAAGTTTTTAAAGAGTGTCTTGGATAGTGCCTTTAGAAATAGAAAAACCCAAGAATTATTCTACTCTGTTCCACCTCCCACTCCCAGTCGAATCCACATTTCTTAATATTACTAATTCTCTCATTTAGACAGCAGACCCTTCATCTTTTTCTTCCCTGTCCTTTTGCTCCCACTGTCTAAACATTATCTTCCCCTAACAATAACTTAGTGCTTAAGAACTAGGTTTGAATTCTTTGCCAGTTATAAATTTTGTGGCATTGGTCAAGTCACTTAACCTCTATAAAGACTGTTTTCAATACTTATTTTGTAGGTTAATAGGGCTAAATGAAACAATTCAGGCCTGCACTCAGTACCACTCTTCCCCCTTCCCCTCCTTGCCTTCCCCTCCCTACCTTCCCCTGGACTCCTCTCTCCACCTTCCTTTTTCTTCCTCCCCATCCCCTACCTTCTTCCTTTTCCTCTTCTTTGAGTAAGTTCTTGGCACAGGGTGAGACTCTGTAAATGCTCGTTTTCATTGTTATAAAACGGCCTCCTCCTCTCCATGAATCAAGCCCTGGAATCATTTCTCCCTTGGAATACTAAATTTATTTAATGGGTCTGCCATACCCTGTTTAGCTCTGTCCTTCACATTAAAGCTCTGTACCCACTGACTTATTTTGTAAAGTATAGTTTTTAAATCAAATCATGCATTTGGGATTGGGAAATGAAGGATTGTAAAAAATACTGTTAATAGCTTAGGTCTGTAGCACTTTGCTATAAGTGGCTTGCTCTTTGATCTTGTAGCCTTTAATCAGGTGTGTATCCAGACGAGGCGAGCATTGGCATGGCTGTTCACCAGCCAGACTCCGCACCTCTGGAAGCAAACGTGGTGGGACTAAAACATGCTGCTGGGGGCTGAGAGCTTTCCTTTAGTGTATGAATTTAAGGAAATTTTGGTTAAAGCTATTTCTCATTGCTAAACTTCATTTTATCAAATCAAGGTCAACGTGGACCTTTATAAAGTTACCAAATTAAAAAAAGACCTTGATAAAATTTTTTTTAAACAAAAAAAGTGTTTTTATTATCTTCCATGTTCATATTACTTTCCCCAAAATGAGAATGGAGTAAAAAGGAAGAATCGAGAATGCTACCTTTTCTTTTAAGTGTTATTGACCTTCAGCGGTCAATTACTTTGAAATGTAAAATTGATTTAGTATAATCTTAATGTCCCAAGTTTTTAAAGAGTGTCTTGGATAGTGCCTTTAGAAATAGAAAAACCCAAGAATTATTCTACTCTGTTCCACCTCCCACTCCCAGTCGAATCCACATTTCTTAATATTACTAATTCTCTCATTTAGACAGCAGACCCTTCATCTTTTTCTTCCCTGTCCTTTTGCTCCCACTGTCTAAACATTATCTTCCCCTAACAATAACTTAGTGCTTAAGAACTAGGTTTGAATTCTTTGCCAGTTATAAATTTTGTGGCATTGGTCAAGTCACTTAACCTCTATAAAGACTGTTTTCAATACTTATTTTGTAGGTTAATAGGGCTAAATGAAACAATTCAGGCCTGCACTCAGTACCACTCTTCCCCCTTCCCCTCCTTGCCTTCCCCTCCCTACCTTCCCCTGGACTCCTCTCTCCACCTTCCTTTTTCTTCCTCCCCATCCCCTACCTTCTTCCTTTTCCTCTTCTTTGAGTAAGTTCTTGGCACAGGGTGAGACTCTGTAAATGCTCGTTTTCATTGTTATAAAACGGCCTCCTCCTCTCCATGAATCAAGCCCTGGAATCATTTCTCCCTTGGAATACTAAATTTATTTAATGGGTCTGCCATACCCTGTTTAGCTCTGTCCTTCACATTAAAGCTCTGTACCCACTGACTTATTTTGTAAAGTATAGTTTTTAAATCAAATCATGCATTTGGGATTGGGAAATGAAGTATTGTAAAAACCACTGTTAATAGCTATTATGCTTTTGCTGTCTAATCATATCCTGCCTTCATGTAGATGCTTCATATAGTTGGTGTCTTCAATAGACTTATTTTGAAGATTTTTAAATGACTTTGGGAACATATATAAACTGTTTATCTTAAATAGACTACTGTGTGCCAGGTGCTGTGACTTAAATGCTCTTTATGAACATTATCCTATTTAATTCACAGTAACCTCTGAGATGTCTCCTATTATTACTACCCATTTTACAGAGAGGGAAACAGATTTATGCACAAGGTCAGATAGCTATAAATAGGAGAGAAGAATTTGAACTCGGTCTGATTCCAGAGCCTGTGCTTCTAAACACTAGTCTATACTGCCCGCCTGCTTCCAGAAATAATTAAATAATTTAGTAAAGTGCATCTTTAACCTAGAATTCTCTTACTAATTAAGTTAAAATGAAGAATAATTCCTGGAAATACAACTTTGAAAAGGAAAAATAAATTCCATTCTAATAAATAGTAATGGAAAATAAATCCTACCATTGACTTTTCATCTTTTTTCATGGCTAGTCAATAAGATTTTCTCATTCATCAATTATGTAAAAAACGGAAACGTATCTGAAGGATGGCATCTGAATTGAGACAGAATTATGACTTATGAGAAATAGTTGAAGAATTTGGAGAAACTTAGCCTTGAGAAATCTGGGAGAAATTAAAACTTTCCAAATATTTGAATAGCTTGCATGTAAAGGAGGGATTAAATATACTCTGTGTGGCCCAAGAGGATAGAATTAGAACCATTTGTTGGAAGCAATTAGATGAGAGCTTTCTAACAATTAGAACTGGAAACACTTTTACTAATCACAGTTTAACTATTTCTACTCATCTTGCGCAGAGATCTCACACTTTTAGAGAAAAGAAAGGTTGCTCAGTTTGGGGATAACATCAGAGACCTTCAAGTGTGCCTCTGAGATAGGCTATAATATGAAAAAGATGATTTTTTAAAAAGTCAGATTATAAATTCAATACATAAAAAATCAGGATTCCATAAAACTAGAAACCTGCCCTTTAATCCCACCATCCAGGGACAGTAATTTGTTATATTAATAATATCTGTCTTTTATGATTATAAAAATAATATAGAAAATTTAAATGCAGAAAAGCATAAAAAAATAAGAAAAGTTAAAGACGGTAAAAAATCTATAATTCTATTTACATTTTGATGTATTTTTTCTAGTCCTTTATATTTTTATATTTAATTTTATTTATATTTTTAATGAAACTTACAATTTACAAAGTTTTGTAGGCCATTCTTTTCATATAACATTATATTATAGACATTACCTTATTATTTTTTAGATATTTCAAGTATGTAATGTTTAATAGAGACTTATGGCTCCATTTTATGAATGTTCCATGATTTAGTTAACCAATTTCCTATTTACAAATAATAACATATGCAGTGGTTTCTTACTATAGGTAACACTGCAATGAATATCTTTATATATTAGATATCCAAATGCTAATTGTGTTCTTAGATTTCTAGAAGTGGAATTAATGCTCTCAAAGTTCCTGCTATGTGTAGCCAAACTGACCTCTGAAAACCATGTACCAACTTACTTTCTCACTATCAATAAATGAGATTAGACTTTGGTTTTTAACAATTTAGTAAAATAGTTGGTAGGCAATTTTTATTTTAATTTGTATTTCTTTAAATAAAATTGATATTCTATATTGATTCATATGTCTAATGGCTAATTACAATTTTTTGACGTACATATTCATTTCTTCCTCCATAAATTTTAAGAATTTATTTATACAAATGCTTTATGTATTAAAAACATTAAACCGTTATGTTTTTTTGAATGCCATTAAGTATATTTATATACACTTAATTTCTTCCATTGCTATTCTTTTAAAAAAATCCTTTACATATTTTCAGTTAGACACTTTATATCAGTCACAGTTCAATCAGAGAAGCAGAACCACTAGGAGGTGTACACACACACACACACACACACACACACACACACACACACACACACACACAGATTTGGTCTTATACAATTGTAGATTAAGTACTGTCTGCAAGGCTGCATTCTTTTAGTCTAATGCTGTAGCTTGAAGTCCAGAGGGCAAGCAATTGGGAAGGAAAGTTAGAGGAGAAGTGGAAAAAGTAAAGACAAGACGGAACTACAAGCTCTCTAGGTCCCACAGGGATGGAGTGAAACGAGTCCCTGTTCTTGTTGCCTCTGCCCTTGGTGGGTGTCTGCCTTTGATCATAGGGTCAAATACACACCTGGCTCGAGAGTCAGAGAAGCTGAAGGAAGATTCAGGGGAAAGCAGAGCATTGCTGGCCTGGACACTGCATCACACCAAGAGATGAAGCTCCAGATCAGTGACCATGTGTACAAGCTACAGAATGGCTGCTGCTTCACTGTCAATCCTCAAATCACCCATAAGAATCTCTCTTGTCCACTCTTATGAGAAATAGAAAGGAAAGTTGACAGATTACAAAGCCACCTACATCTAATTTAGGAAGAAATGGTATGTTGGCAAAATTTGGCTGTTCATTCAGGACCATGGCACGTTTCTACATTTAAATCTGATTTTATATAAAGAAAGAGCTATAATTTTGTCAAATGAGCCCTTCACAATTTCTATTAGAATTATTTTATATTTCTTGTTTTTAGAGCAAATGGAATCATTCTTCCCAATTACTTTTTTAGCTGATAGGAAAAAATCTATTTTAGATTATTTATCTTCTACTTTACCAAAAGCCTATTAATTTTAGAACTTTATAAGGTTGATTTTCACTAGTTTTCTAACCATATAATTGTATTATCTGCACCCAATAGCATTTAATCCTTCTTTCTAACTCTATTTCCATTTCATCTCATTGTTCTGGAATTTTTTTCTTTTTCTTTTTTTTTAAATTTTATTTATTTCTTTATTTGTGGTGACATTGGTTAACGAAATCCAATAAGTTTCATCTGTATACTTTAACAGTAAGGCATATATATATTTACATTGTGTGTTCATGGAATTTCTGATTGCTACAATGTTAACCAATAGTGATGATAATTGGCATGCTTTCAGTTTACGATATGTATTTTTAATCTTGAACAGCTACTTTCATTTTTGCTTGTCTGTTCATTTCTAAAATCAGTAGTATGTATGAAATGTCATTTGACATCTACTGACATGTGTGGTAGAATACATTAATAAAATTTTCAAAATTGAACTATCTGTATTTTTAGAATAAATCCTGCATTGTCCTGGTGAAAGATTAATTTTTAATGTACTTTTAAAGTGTGTTGCCAATAACTTATTGTTTTAAAAATATTTCTAAGTGAAAGTGGTTCAATTCTTTGTCTGGTCTTGCTCGGTTTCATAGTTATGTTAATTTCATGAAAATTAATTTAATAGCTTTATTTACAAACTCTATGGTAGTTTGTGTAGCCTGAGAGATATCTAGTCTTTGAAAATACAAAAGACTTTGCCAGCAAAACTGGTACCAAGCATTCTTGTGGTAGTTTTTAAATATTAACTTTTTACTTGAGATAAAACATACATATGGTAAAGTGCACCAACCTAAAATGTATAGCTCAATGAAATTTTAGACATATACAGGCACACACACTCATATCTTCATAACCACTACTCAAATCAAGATAGAAATCATTTCCAACACCCCAGTCAAAATCCCACAAAACTAATTACTATCCTGACTAGAAAATAATTTTATTCCCATTTTTTTTTTCTCTTGTGAGTAGTTTCAGTGAATACTTGTCCTTTTTGGCTACTGTATTAGTTTGCTAAGTCTGCCATAACAAAATAGCACAGACTGGGTGGCTTAAGAAATTTTTTTCTCACTATTCTGGAATCTAAGATCAAGGTATCAGCAGATTTGGTTTCTTCTGAGGCTTCTCTCCTTGACTTGCAGAAGGCCACCTTCTTCTGTCTTCACCCGCTCTTTCCTCCATGGGTGTACATCCCCTGTGTCTCTGTGTATTCAAATTTTCTCCTCTTAAAAGGACACAAATCAGATTAGATTAATGCCCACCCCAAGGGCCTTATTTTAACATAACTGTGTGTGCAAGTTGCCATATCTAACACATGACTGTGGAAGTAGCAGTTCCACGGGGACCATCTAGCAGAGAAACTTGGGCATCATTTCTGTCTGCATACTCTCCAAGCTGCGATAGCTGGTCCTAATAGAAATTCAGTGACTATATAATAAACATTACAAAATTCATTTTTTTTGCTTGAGCTCTTAAGAGTGGATTCTTTTGCCTGCAGCCAAGAACCCTCTGGACACATTAATTTATTCAGGGTTTTTTCTTCTTAAAAAGAAAAACAACAAAAAAGGATTTCTCGATGTCTGTTGGTGAAATATAGCACATATCCAAATAAGAAAAAGGATATGGAAGTACATATGTGTAATTTTAAAACAATAATAAAACAGATTTCTATGTACTTATCACCCAGGCTCAGAAAGAGACCAGCGTCTTAGCCCAGATGCTTTCCATGTTCCCGCCATTTGTGTCTCCCCTCTTTCTGACATTTGCAATAACCATCTCCTTGCTTTTCTTTGAAGTTTTTACCACCAACACTTACACCACTAAGAATACATTGTTAGGAGACCATGTCTATTTGCGACATTAATATGAACGAATCATACTGTTTTTCTATGACTGGTTTCCTTTGCTAGGCACTGTATTTTTGAGATTTGTCCACACAGATGCACGTAGCAGTAGTTTACTCATTATACTGTTCATAATCCCTTGTGTAAATATCCCCCAACTTATTTATCCATTTCACCAATGACAGATACTTAAATTATTTTCAGATTTTTATTATTGTACAATGCCACTATAAATATTTTTATACGTCTTCTGGCGCAAGAGATACCCATGTGCAAGAGATACCCATAGTGTAGACCTCGTAGGGCATCTGGTGGCTTATTGTCTTTGTGTATGTTAACGTTGACTAGGTAATACCAAATTTTCTTTAAGTGACTAAATCAATTTTTAATTCTAACAGCAGTGGATGAAAGTTCCTTTTCTGCATTCTCATTAGTGCTTGGTATTGTCAAACATTCAAATTTGTACCAATCTAGTGGATATAAATATTATCTCACTGTGATTTTAATTTGCATTTTCCCTGATTTATCAATTAGATTGAACATCTTTTGTTGTATGTGTGTTTATGTTTCCGTTCCTGTGAAATTTATTTTTTTCTCCATTTTCCTATTGGGTTATCTTTTTTTTCAATTATAGTTGACATTCAATATGATTTAATATTAGTTTCAAGTATATAACATAGTGGTTAGACAATTATATAACTTATGAAATGACCACACCAATAAGTCAAGTACCCACCTGGCACTATATATAACAATTACAATATTACTGACTATACTCCCTATGCTGTACTTCACATCACTGTGACTATTTTTACCAATTTTCACCGCTTAATCCCTTCACCTTTTTCATCTAGTCCCCAAAACCCCTTTTCATCTTGTAACCGTCAGTTTGTTCTTTGCATCTATGAGTCTGTTTCTGTTTTGTGTTTTTGTTTATGTTATTCTTTATATTCCACATATAAGTGAGATCATATGATATTTGTTTCTCTCTGTCTAACTTATTTCATGCAGCATAATACCCTCTAGGTCCATCCATGTTGTTGCAAATGATAATATTTCATTTTCTTATGGCTGAGTAATATTCCACTGTATATACGTACCACTTCTTTATCAAATCATCTGTGGATGGACACTTCAGTTGCTTCTATATCTTGGCTATTGTAAATAGTGCTGCGGTAAACATAGGGGTGCATATATCTTTTCAAATTAGTGTTCTAGATTTCTTTGGATAAATACCCAGAAGTGGAATTGCTGGGTCATAAGGTAGTTCTATTTTATATTAGTATCAGGTATATAACATAGTGGTTAGACAATTATATAACTGTTTTCCATAAAGCTGCACCAGTTTGCAATCGCACCAACATGCATGAGGGTTCCCTTTTCTCCACCTCCTCACCAACAGTTGTTTGTTGATTTATTGACGATAGCAATTCTGGCAGTTATGAAACGATATCTCATTGTGGTTTTAATTTGCATTTCTCTGATGATTCATGACATTGAGCATATTTTCAAATATCTATTGGCCATCTGTATGTCCTCTTTGCTGAAATGTCTATTTAGGTCCTCTGCTCATTTTTTAATTGGATTGTTTGCATTCTTTTGGTGTTGAGTTATATGAGTTCTTTATAAATTTGGGGTATTAACTCCTTATCAGATGTATCACTGGCAAATATGATAGGACGTCTTTTTGTTTTGTTGATGATTTCCTTTGCTGTGCAAAAACTTTTTAGTTTGTCATAGTCCCATTTGTTTATTTTTTCTTTTGTTTCCCTTGCCCGAAGATATTTATATATCAGAACAAATTGCCAGAGACTTTACTGCCTATGTTTTATGCCTTTGGGTCTTACTAAATCTGCCAATTCCCGAGAGAGTTGTGTTAAAATCTTCTTTATTATGGCAAATTTGCCTTTCTCTTCCTGAAGGCTGTTAATTGTTGCTTTGAAATATGTTTTGAGGACATATTAGGAGTATACAAGTCTAGAAGTGTTAAGTTCCTGTTTATCAATATGTAGTGAAACTTCATTAAGTTTAATAATGCTTTTTTGTCACAAAATCTATTTTGTCTGATATTAATATAGTGATCCCAATTTTCTTTTGGTTAGTATTTTGTGCTATTTTTTTCCCAATGTTTTTCTTTTAAACTTTAGATGTGGATTTCTTTTTTCTTATATGTATTTTGATGGTCTTTGCTATTTAACAGACTCATTTAATTCATTAAAATTTATTTTAATTACTAAATGTAGATATAATTACATATATAACCATAATATATACACATGTTTTAATATATAATTGTCTGTTTATATAAATATGTACATTTTTAATTACTATACACACATATTTGGATTTTTTTCTAATTATTTGTGCTTGCTTTTTGTTCCATTCTGTTTTTTCTTGCATTCTTTTTACAAGTGTTATTTTTCTCTACTGTTTTGGATCAATCTTATTAATAATTGCCATATCTGTCAAATAATAAAAGAGGCATTATTCCAAGGATTTTCCTAGAAATGTTAACTTGCATATTACATTATCAAGATTAGATTTAATAAAAAGTTTTATTATCCTCCGAATAATACACAAACGTTAGCACAGTTGATTCCAGTCATCTGCTCCTCATTTATATCCTATTGTTGTCTGTGTTTTAATTCTAACTTATTCTTGTTTTTATTTCAATCCAGAAAGACACTAGTATTGTTGTTTTGTACCATTAATATTTGATTGAATTTATCCATATAACCCTTTCTTTTTTGAACTTCAAACTTTATATCACAGATCCCATTCCATATGTCTAAAGTACATATTTTGAAATTTTATTTAGTACTATATTATTGGTAGCAAACTTACTGGTTTTTTTCTTCTCTAAAGACATTTTTATTTCACCTTTATTTTTAATGACTTTTTGGTTATATTCTTTCTGAGGTAGCATTCTAATAGTTCCTTTCTCTTAGCAAAATAGAATGAACACATCATTTCATAAACTTATGGGTTTTATTGCTGCTATTGAAAAGTCTACTGTCAGTCTATTTTTTGGTTTTTCGAAGCTCACTTATCTTTTTCTCTTTGGCTTCTCCGAATATCTTATCTTTGATGTTCTATGGTTTCATTATGGTGTCTAGGTGTGATTCTGTTTCTTTTAATCTTACTTAGAATTTATTGAACTACTTGAGTCAATAGTAGATGATAAATGACTTTCATCAGTTCTGAAAAAATTCTCAACCAGTATTTCTGTTTTTCTCTGTACCTAATGTGGTTTTTTCCCCCTAAATGTTCCTATATCTCTGTTACATACCTGTCAAAATAATTATAATTCATTTAGTAACCTAATGCAGCATAATCAGTCAGCCTAAAACTTTGTGGCTTAAGACAAAAATAATCGTTTATTATCTCTTAGTATCTGTTAGTCTCATTCAGGATAAGCTCAGTTAGTTAGTTGTTATTTGGGGTCATTCATGAAATTACAGTTCTATGTTGTCTGGAGCTGCAGTTATCTGAAGGCTTGAGGGGTGATGGAAGATCTATTACCAAGGTGGCAAATTACTGCTGCCTGTAGGCTGGGTTCCTTAGTTCTGTACATGAATTACTCCACGGGGCTGCTTGAATGTCCTCACGGCATGACAGTTACGATTGTTCAGCTTTTTTCTCATTATGAAGGTAGGGTAGATGACTGCCAAGCTCTTTTCATGTCAGAGTCGAAACTGAAAGTGCTGACTTTGTCTTTTGAACGTTTATTTGTAATTTTTATTCTATTCTGTTTTGGATTTTAAGATCATCTTTATTTTTCTTCACCATATTTAGTATAATATTACAGTGTTTCATAATTGAAGTATCTTTCTTATCTTTTGATTTTTCATCTGAGAAAGTTGTTTATAAGTTTTTTTTTTTCTTTTTAAACTTTTCTTCTGTTCCTTGTCTCTCTTTTTAAGGGATGATTTCTACTTTTTAAAAATTTTATTTCGTTTGCCATATAAGTGACAAATTAAACTGTGAGAATGGTTGAAATTGCCTCAGCATAAAGAGAAGACAGTCTAGCCCTAAGAAACTCCACCATTTAGTAGGTAAAGTAGGAAACGTATTGTTTTTATAAATGTTATAAATTTTTCCCTTTGGTCAACTTTGGCTATATTTCATAAAGTGTGATTTAGGAGGAGTAACATTTTTAATTTTGAAACAGTTTAAGTTTTTTGGTTTAAATTTCCATTATTAATTTATAAATTTATTGCTTTTTAATTAACATTAGCCTCTTATAATTTATTTTCTTCAGAACTTATTTATATTTTCTTTTTGGCCTAGTGGAAGTCAGTATATTAATTTTACATAGATGCTTTTAAAATTATGTGAAATGTTTGCTGAATAAATCAACTTAATTGTTAATTAATTCTTCAAATCTCTATGTTCTTATTTGTTTTCGTTATCTGATATGACAATTTATAGTGGCATGTTGAAATTTTCTATCTAAAGTGTATTTCTAAATATTTCACATACATTTTAATGATTCTTTTTACA